TGGATATGGAACAACTGATTGGTTCAAAATTGGGAAAGGAGTACGACAAGGCTGTATATTGTCCCCCAGCTTATTTAACTTATATGCAGAATACATCATGTGAAAGGCCAGACTGGAGGAATCCCAAACCAGAATTAAGATTGCCGGAAAAATATCAACAACCTCCAATATGCAGATGATACCACTCTGATGGCAGAAAGTGAGGAGGAATTAAAGAACCTCTTAATGAGGGTGAAAGAAGGAAGTGCCAAAATGGTCTGGGATATAACCTCAAAAAAACGAAGATAATGGCCACTGGTCCCATCACCTCCTGGCAAATCAAAGGGGAAGATATGGTGGCAGTGACAGATTTTAATTTCTTGGGCTCCATGATCACTGCAGATGGTGACAGCAGCCATGGAATTAAAAGACGCCTGCTTTTTGGGAGGAAAGTGATGACAAACCTAGACAGCATCTTAAAAAGCAGAGACATCACCTTGTTGACAAAGGTCCGCGTAGTCAAAGCTATGGTTTTCCCAGTAGCAACGTATGGAAGTGAGAGCTGGACCATAAAGAAGGCTGACCGCCGAATAATTGATGCTTTTGAATTGTGCTGCTGAAGGAGGCTCTTGAGATTCCCCTGGTCTGCAAGGAGGTGCTGGAGGAGGCTCTTGAGTCCCCTGGTCTGCAAGGAGAAGTACTCACTGGAAGGACAGATCCTGAAGCTGAGGCTCCAGTACTTTGGCCATGTCATGAGAAGAGAAGACTCCCTAGATGTTGGGAAAGTGTGAAGGCAAGAGGAGAAGGGGACAACAGAGGACGTGATGGATGGACAGTGTCATCGAAGCTACCAACATGAATTGGACCATACACTGAGAGACAGTGGAAGACAGGATGGCCTGGCATGCTCTAGTCTATGGGGTCATGAAGAGTTGGACACGACTTAACAACTAAAGAACAACAAAATTCCCAGCCCAGTTGAACAAGTGGTTCTACTTTCCGTCACCTACAAACTGTCTCTTCCACTCCCATGACAACAAAGAATCTTATGTCATACTTAACAACTAAAGAACAACAACAAAATTCCCAGCCCAGTTGAAGAAGTGTTTCTACTTCCTGTCACCTACAAACTGTCTCTTCCACTCTCATGACAACAAAGAATCTTATGTCACTTTACGTTTTGTGGGCATTCCCTTCATCAGATGCATGGAATCACACAGATTTACCCGTGGGTGGGTGAAAGAGTGGGGAATGTAATTTGTAGGGTATGAAGGGACTGGAAGGGGAAAAGTATTAATACTGATATTTAAATTTGATTAGCAGTAGTCATTAACAAACAGTAGCTGGAGGGAATGCAGGAATAGACTTGGAGAATGTGCTTTGTGTGGTGTAATGTGTTCCTTGTTCTAATGTATGGCATGGAACTGCAGGCAGCTATTTCTTTTTTTTTTAATGATTGCTAATTATACAAATGTCTCTTGAATCAAAACTTTTATTTACCAACAACTCCCTCAGCTTCTTACTGTGGATTTTGTCAAAAGCTTCCTCATAAACCTGAAAGGAAGCAGACACATGCGTGCCATGGCAGGTCTTCCCAGGCACATGTATGCCAAATAGTATTGCCCAAATAGTATCATTCCAAATCTTCATCTTAATCCAAAATGCATGTCATTTCTTTTAAGTCCTGCCACATATTGCTTTTAAGAAAATTTTAAAGATATAGCACACTAGGTTTATTGTTTTGCAGCCACTTTGAGCTTTGCCATTTTCCTTTTTGAGAAATGTGATATTTGCCAATCTGAGCAAACTTTTAGGGTCGATTCCTAGTCTGAATATTGAAAAGATTCACTAAAACAACTAAGCTATCTTTGATTAGTTTTGGTACTTTTGTAAAAACATAATCAAGTCTAGGGACTTTGCCCTTTTTGTTAGCTATTAGATAGGTTGGATTTTGAATATCTGTACTGTACTTCCGATTCAGTATAAAAATCTAGTACAATATATTTTGTTTCTCTGTTGTACTCAAACAGCTTTTAATGTACTTTCTCCCCAACATGATTTTACCCTTGACATCATGTGTCAGATTATGATGATTATCACCAGTAATAGGTATTCTCATTTTTAAAAATATGTTTGCACTTTCTCCCTGATCATTTAATCACATTAATGGAGTTGTGATTTTTTTGTTAGGTTTTCTATTTTTGTACATTGTTTTTACCACCATTTGTTTTGTTTCCCTAGATTGGTTTTGTCTAATTCTCTATATTTGCTATATATATTGCAAACCACCCAGAGTGGCCTCGGCCAGAAGGGTGGTATAAAAATGAAATATAATTCAATAAAATAAATGAATTTTTATTTTGATTCATTTTCAATCAACACTAGTATTCTTCCAGTTAGACTCTTTTTTATTTACATTTCTACTTTTGAAGTAAAATTTCTGAACTGTAAAGTGGGACCCCACTTATACATAGGGAATTGGTTCCAAACTTTCCCATGGATACTGAAAATTGAATAATAATGAACCCTATACATAGCATGGTCTCTGGCCAGTTCTAGTGATGACATTGTGGAACTACCATATTTCTAGGGCTTTTTTCTTTTAATACTGTATTTTGAAAAGAATTCAGACTGTGGATAAGTGAAACTGTAGGCACCAATCCTTAAGATACAGGGGGCCTACTGTATACATAGTCATGAACAACATGTTAAATATATCACTAAAGAAACTTCCTGTAACATGTTCTCAAGTTGCCTCTGACTTTTGGTGACCCTATGAATGAGCGATCTTCAAAATGTCCTGTCCTCAACAGCCTTGCTCGGCTCTTAGAAACTCAATTCCGTGGCTTCCTTTAGGGAGACAGCCCATCTTATATTTGGTCTTCCTCTTTTCTAGCAGCATTCAGTATTTCCCAGCATTATTGTCTTTTCCAGAGAATGTTGCCTTCTCATGATGTGCCCAAAGTAGGACAGCCTCAGTTTTGTCATTTTTACTTCCAAGAGATAGTTCAGGCTTTATTTGCTCTAGAACCCACTCATTAATCTTTCTGGCAGTCTAGGGTATCCACAAAACCCTCCTCCAGCACCATATTTCAAACAACTACAGTATTTTTTTTCCTGTCACCTTTCTTTAGTGTCCACCTTTCACACTCATACATAGTGATCAGGAATCCTTGGTCTCCAGTGACATATCTTTACACTTGATTATCTTTCCTGATTTCTATATTGCTGGCATTCCCAGTCCCAGTCTTCTGATTTCTTATCTGCATTCTCCATTTGGATTGATGATTGAACCAAGAAGTAACAAATTTAATTTTTTCATTCTCAATATTAAAGTTACATAATTCTTCTGTAGTCATGATTTTTGTCTCAATGTTCAACTGCAGTCCTGCTTTGACACTTTCTTCTTTCACTTTTGTTAAAAATCCTTTCAAGCGATTGCTGCTTTCTGCCAGTAAGCTGATGTCATCTCCTATTATTGATATTTGTTCCACCAATTTTCACTCCTCCTTCATCTGAATCTAGTCCATTTTTTCCATACAATATGTTCTATATACAAATTGATATACTGTAGAACAATTTATATATAGAACATATTGTATATACAAATACAGTATGTATATTTGTATAAGATAAGGGGATAAAATTTTGTCTCTCCATATTTTGTCCTAACAGTAGCTTCTTGTCCACATACAGGTTACGGATCAGGACAAGTGCTAAGGCACACCCATTTCTCTCTGAATAACTCATAGTTTCTCATGACCCACACAGTCAAAGGCTTTACTGTAGTCTATAAAGGATAGGCTGATCTTCTTCTGAAATTCTTTGGTG